ACCTGATTCCTGACCGTGGCCCCAAGCTGGGGGAGCTCTTGGCTGGGAGAGGTCTCTAATCTGGGTGCTCTTATACCCGCTTCCTCCATCCTGCTGCAGGAGGGCAGGACCCCGAACTGAGAGTTTCTCCAAGTGGACAGTGCTTTCAGGATGGAAATGGGGTCAGTGCTCAGGGTCAAGCAGAGATTGATCCCGCCCGCAGTGCCGGCCGGAGCCCAGGACAGAACTTCATGGGGAAGGTCTGGGCTTTACCTGCCCAGGATCTCCTTGGTCTCGTAGTTCTCATAGAAGCTCTGTGCGGAACGGGAGTCTGGCAGTGTCTTGTACTGGGTCATGTTCAGCTCCTTAAAGAGGGGAACAGAAAGAAGCAGTCAGCCTTCCTGACCTGGGGGGTGTGCTCTTTGAGGGCTGAAACCATTTCTCCCGTTTTTTTTTTTTGGCTGCACCGCACAGCATGTGGGATCTTAGTTCCTTCCTCTGGTAACCAGGCACCCAGCAGAACCAGGGATCGAACCCGTGCCCCCTGCACTGGAAGTGCGGAGTCTTAACCGCTGGACTGCCAGGGAAGTCCCTCTCCCTCGTCTGTGTATTTCCTGGCATCGGTCTGGCCTCTTGTGAATATTCAAAATAAATATTTATGAATTTTTAAAAAAGCTTTGGAAAGAGCCCAACTTGCTTCTCCCCACTGGCTGTAAGCTCCCGTGACCCCAGGTGACCATGTGGCTCCCGGCATGTTCTCGTTGTTAGTTGTTGCTCTCCGGTAGGAGCAACAGATGGGCAGCCAGGCCCAAGCCCAGGCTCGAGGCAGGAATCGGGCCACCAGGCTGCAAGGTTAGTTCTGACAGGGCCAGCACACGCTTGAGTTTAGAAAGCACCACCGAGAAACTCTGCAAAGGACAAATTAAAGTGCTCTTTCCTTTCCTCTTTGAGGCGACGTGGCTGGTCCTGCTTTTCCTCGGCCTGCTCTCTGCACTTCTGGAAAAGGTGAGAAGCTTCATGGTTTCATTTTCAAATATGCTGCTCCCATAACCTCTCCTTATCTCCCCCACTTGTAACTGTCCTACCCAGAAAATACCCCTCCTTCTGCGACAGCCTTGCTGTGCTTCCCATTGCTGCTTCCTCACCCATTCCGCCCTTAGTTTTTGTGATCACTGTCCCTCCTTCACCCTTCCTTCCTTCCGTCCTCCCTCCCTCCTTCCTTTCTTCCTTTCATACTCTGAGAAGTACTGTGCCAGGTGCTCTGAGGGAGGCAGAGTTTGATGGGTGAGTCCTGGTCCCAGCCTCTGGTATCACTTGTTCTCTCATCTCTGTCCCACCGTGATCATCTCTAGATCATCCCAACCATCCCTCCCCACTGTGCCCAGTGCAGGTGTGTCGCAGGTGCTGCTCCGTAGATATAAGTCAATGGCTGGAGGTGTCCCTTTGGTCCAGGTTCCTGCCAGCAGGATGGCCATGTCCTCAGAATGCCCTGTGTCCTACCTAACGATGGCCAATGAGCCCTGAGTGGTCCTGCTGCAGTGTGGGGCAGAACGGAGCCAGGACACTCAGGCCTAGACCCAGAGAAGCTGGCCGGCTTTGCTTCAGGAACACAGAGGCCACTGGGTATGGAACTCCTACCTCACACGGAGGATCTGAGGAATGGAGAAAATGCTGTACCAACAGGAAGAGGGACAGATAGAAAATGGGCACAAGCTGCCTCTCAGCAGGGCCAAAGATGCCTCTGGTCCCATTTCCACTGCCCTTTCTGGGTCCAAGAAGGTCTGGCCTGTCAAAGAGGCCCATTTGCTGACCAGCCAAGCAGCAGCCCTGGCTGCCTCAGGACAGGCTGGCTGTTCCAGGAAGGCTGGTGTCCCCACTGCTGGGTGCCTGGTTACCAGAGGAAGGATTAGAATAACAAGTCTCCTCTGCCAGCAGCAGGCTCTGGAGCTGTCTCTGCTCCACCCCCATCAGCAACCCCAGCTGAGCACTGGAGTGTCTGTTCCCCATAAAAACGAGCCAAATTCCTGGTAAGCCGTTTAAAGTTCCCACGAGGGGCATCTGTTCCCCCTCCTCCCCCCACCTCCCAAAGCTGGGTAAGGAAAGGTCTCTCCCTTCCTGCAGCCCTCCCCGCACAGACGGTGTATGTGGACCCAGCCCGGGATGCCGTCCCGTCAGGGCCCGTTCCCTGGCACAACCGGCCCCACTGAGCCCCAGCAACACTCCCTCTCCTGGGGTGGGTGGCGGAGGTCTATCTTGCCTCATCCCCTTACTCTAGGCCTAACCTGGGGCCAACTTCGCGCCTCTGTCCACTGCCCCTGCCTGCATTCCCCATGCCTTACCGAAGATGCCTTTGGAAAGGGTCCCCAAACAGTAGGTAGCCTGGTCCTTTTTGGAACATGACATCCCTCCCTGAAACTTAGAGAATCAGTGCTGCCATGCTTCTGGGCCCACGTGCCTTCAGAAGCAGGGAGAGGTGGGTCTAAGGGATATGGGGGGTTCTGTCTTCCCTATGCCACAGCCTCTCCCGCTCCCCACATAGCTACTCACCTCTATGTCCTCGCAGGCCCTGGAATGAACGTGACAGGAATCCCAAAGGTCCAGGAGCCCCCTGGGGACAGGGGACAACAGAGGGCTGAAGCGTGTCCCGAGCCGACGCTTGTGGCCAGAACAGGGTATCTTGCTGCTCTTCCTTCAGGCTTTGCTACTTGAGGACGAAAGGCTGATGTGCCAAAAATAAATCCCAGCTGCAAAGCTCAGCGTGACAGTGCACGAGTCGGGGCCAAGGCTCCGCAGGGGTGACCTCTGGTGGAGGGTGAGGGAAGCTCCGGTGGCCTGGGAGCAGGCAGGACAGCACAAGGTGACCCATCTTCCCTGTGGAGCTCACTCAACCTCCAGGCTTAGAGGAGATAAAGCCAGCTTGCTGGGAACACGCTGGCTTCTCTGGGAGCCATTCCTGTGTGTGCTGAGAGCAGAGCCCTGGAGACACCCCAGCACACTGGTGTGCCCACCCTGCAGCCCTGGCTGCTACAGGGACCCGCTCAGCTACGGTTTGCGTGGCTGCCTGACCCAATGCAGACCTCAAAGGCTAGGGAGACTCCATCTCTGATCTGCCTCCATTTCATCCTTAACTTCAGCCTGCAGTTTCTAACGAATAAGAGGAATTCCATGTGCCAGGAAAAGCACATGGGCTCTAACCGTGTGTGGCTTTAGGCTGTTTGGGTGAGGGTCCTCATCGGTGTGAGTCTAGCTTAAGAGGCTGACAGAGCTGGAAATAATGTATGCAACATGAGGGCACACAAGCAGACACTTTTTAAATGCTCACCCTCATTCTAAAGCTACCTGTTCTTCAAACCCCTGGTTCTTCTAATATACCAAACGAAGAAAGGGGTAATACACTGCTTCATACAGGTGCTGAGCCCACAAAAACCCATTTAATGAGCATTTTACAATGCAATTCATATGCACTCTCATTGGGCCCCCAAAACTCTGGTATTAAGCCAACTTTAGAGAGAATGTGACTTGCTCGATGAGGTGAGTAGGAGGGCCTAGGTGAACCTCAGATGTAGGCTCACGTGCTCTTTCCATTGTATCACACTCGCCATCTCTTCCGCTCTGGGGAAATACTTTGCTGAACTGTTATATAGGAGCTGGTAAATGACTTTGTCCCTATCCTTAAAGGCCTCCAGCTTATCGAGATGCAACATCTGGTTCCAAAGATGAAAACACTGAATTCTCCTTTTACTTACTGTCAATAAGCCTTTTTCCCCCGATTCTAAGCTACAGACGCCTGCTGGCTTACACTTTCAATACATGACAAAAATCCCTTCTGACTTTAGGGCAAAAGGCCAATACACCTGGTGGATTATTCCCTGTGACCTTCTCTGTGTAGCCATGGCTCCCACCAGAGGCAGGCCAGGTCAGCCAGACTCTTGCATTTTATTGTCAGTGGTTCATTTTCCTTTGATTCAGTGATTCAACCATATTTGGGTACCCACCATAGAGCATCACGCCTTGGACATAAGGGGCGTTAACACTATGAACTCAGAAGTCCTGAGCCTTTAGGAAAATGGGCAAGAGCCCAATGATGAACCCAGGAGGGAATATGCTGGGGGACTGGCCAGTAGTGAATTGTCTGTGGTCATTTAGGTCCTTGAGCAAGGTAGTCTTGGCCTCTTTCAGGAAGTGAATTAGGTACAGAATGGAGCACTCTAAGAACACCGCTGAGGACGAGGTAACAACTGAATAATTCACTTACTCAACAGCACTTCACTTACCTTGCAGTAACAGAGAGGAAAAAAAAAATCAGATAATGGAAACTCTGAAAGGTATATTTGAAAGTAGGAAAACTGCAGAGCATAATGGAGACTGGAGGTCAACTCCCAGAAGTAAATGAAATTTTGAGCTCTTTGTGAGGGATGGAGCTGGGTTCATTTAAAAAAAAAAAATGATGCCCCCCAAATTGAGTCCAACATGGACTTAAGACAGCTTGGAGAGGGCAACTTGAGTCTTTCAGGAAGAGAAAGCTACAATGCCTTAAGTAGAATAAAAACATCTGCAGGGAAACTGCCTATATTAAGAGAATGAATTTTCATCTCCAACCAATAAATTGGATAATCTAGGTTAACAATGACGTGTAGTGCTGACCTGGCCACAGGGAGCCCACACACGTAATGGGTCTGCTCCCACATTTCCTGTATCATTCACCTGATTACAACAGTTAGTATTTTAGTTTCATTACTGCTCAGTTTACTGCACATTGGCTCCAAAGGCCTGTAGCACCTGGAATCTTTTTAATGAGCAGCACGCTTGCTAGGGAGCTACTCCTTACATAACTATTTCTCTACCAAAGCTCCTCAGGAAGCTCTGCCAGATCCTCCAGGCGGCCACTACTTTAATATCCAGAGACTACAGACTAGATACACATAAAGACATGTAGAGACAACTGTGTTCTTCTGCAAAATGCAATCTGTTCACCATGTGTATACCACGTGTGATTTATAACCTTATACTTAAGAGACACATTTGGAAATAAAATCACTTTATTCTAATTAATTCACAAACAAAAGCATGTTTAAGAGGCCACACAAACATTCGCCTAGCCCCAAACTCAATATCATCTCAGGGAGCTTCTATATGGTGAGAATACCCTCTTCCACTGCAATCCTGAAGCACAAAAGCTACTAATGATTGAGGAGCGGTTAACTGGTGGCTTCACACTTTATATCTTCACTATCAATTATATTTTTAATGCTAAATCAACCTGGTCATGAGAGATGATTTTTCATGCCTTCAACTGGAACTTCTTGATTAAGCTAACCCTGCAAACAGAAAAAGTTTGTTAGAAGAGCACTAGCTACATATTCCCAACAAAACCAAAGTCCTCCAAATTATGAAAGCAGGGGTGAAGCCCAAGGTTATTAGTTTCTTTCATAAGCTGTTTAAGGCTGCAACCAATAAAACTTCAACTCTACACTTTGAAGCAGAAATATAGTTACTTTGGTATTAGACATAGTTTCATCAAAGACTTCTGATAAACTTGGCCATGCAATGTCTTAATTCCACAGTTCGACCACCTATAAGGATTAACTTCTCCCCATCCCTATTTCCTACATAAATGAAGGTGGGGAATTTTGAGAACCACTAGCCCAGACCAGGGTTTTAAAACGTTTTTCTGTAAACAATCAGGTAAATACTTTTCGCTTTGTGGGCCATATAGTCTCTGTCACAACTGCTCAACTCTTCCTTTGCCATGGAAAGCAGCCATACACAACACCTAAATGAATAGGAGATGGCTGTGTTTCAATAAAATTACTTACAGAAACAGGTGTCAGGATGGCTTTGGTAAAGGGACCATAGGTGGTCAACCTCTGGCCTAGACCAATTCAGTATAAGAAGCCTGAAAAATGACTCTGTATATATTAAATATACTCTGTGACTCCATGAGAATCAACTATAGATTTATCCACAAAAATCCTTTCTAAGTTTCTAAATAAAATCTGCAGAACTATAAATAAATAAATAAATAAATAAAAATGCAGGTGGGAAAATGAAAATAATCATTTTTAATAGGTGGTGAACTCTTAGATTGATAGGAGGAAATCACACAAAAACAAGTTGACTGCCAACATTCCAGAGAACCTATATCTCTAAGTCCCACCGAGGGATTTAATAAACTTGTCTCTCTCAAACGAGGTGTGCAGAATGACAATGCTCTATCAGATCTTGTGCTCATTCCTGGCCTTTGGTGAAATCAGCACTAAGGCTATGCAATAACCACAATAAGATCTTGGCACACTAATCTATACCCGCCTAAGAAAGAATCAGATTCAGAATGTAACTGAATCTGATTCTTCCTTAAGCAGGTAAAAGCCTAAGATAATGACTAGAAAACTCTGGACCAGCTCCTTATTAGATTATTTTTAGAGTAATTTAAACAAAATCTCCTCTAATTTGTCAGTTTAATTTATTAAACACAGTCTTATAAGGTCCAGGGGTACCATTCAGTGAATTAAGCAGATGCAAGTTCAACCATGGATTGATGTATCTATCACCTACCGTTCGCCAGTCTGCACTGTTTCAGCACCTCACTGAAACCTTCACAAAGCTTAAGGTCACCCTGGTTCTGGGCACACTCCAAAAACTGTTTCACCTCAAAAAGGCATGGGCCATTCTGCTGCTGCTGTGCCAGCTGGGTTCCCTGAGGCTCCTGCAAAGGCATAACATTCAGGACTGTTAAGAAAGGAAATCAGGGACTTCCCTGGTGGCGCAGCGGTTAAGAATCTGCCTGCCAATGCAGGGTACATGGGTTTGAGCCCTGGTCCGGGAAGATCCCACATGCCGCGGAGCAACTAAGCCTGTGAGCCACAACTACTGAGCCTGCACTCTAGGGCCCGTGAGCCACAACTACTGAGCTCGCGTGCCTAGAGCCCGTGCTCTGCAACAAGAAGCCACTGTAATGAGCAGCAGAGCAGCCCCCTCCCAAAGCCTGCGTACAATGAAGAGGAGCCCCCACTCGCCGCAACTAGAGAAAGCCCACGCGCAGCAACGAAGACCCAACGCAGCCAAAAATAAATGAATGAATGAATGAATGGAAATCAGACTTATACCCGAACAAAGAGCAATAACCACTCTTTGAGGTTAATTGGGGGAACAGAACTAGAACCAGATGCAAATTAAAGTTTCTATCTAATAACGTGGACAGTGAAAAAAATTAAAGGCAGAAAGAAATGAGCTTTAACAAAAATCCCAGTTGTCATCAGAAAGATTCATGAACAAAGATGCAAATTAAGTGGTTATCTAGGCATCTAAAGACCAGTGGTTCAATGATGTTTCATGGAGGAAAAAATGGGCCTACAACAGAAAAATAGATGGATGAGAGTTTTAAGTACATTAGAAATACAGTAGAGTATACACCCATGCTCCTTAGAGGAGAAAATTCACATATCTCAGAAAGAAGGACAGTGGCAAATATCAGGTAAGAGATGAGAGAGCACAGAGTCATCAAAAAGATTTCTGAACACTTAACAAAGATTGAGGCTGAATTAGTTAAGTGTGACCATGACAAACACAACATATATATGTGTATATATATATGTATATATTTATATTCATTCATTCATTCACTCATTCATTTATTTATGCCAGGCCACACGGCTTCTGGGGTCTTAGTTCCCCAACCAGCGATTGAATCCCGGGCCCGTGACAGTGAAAGCGGCAAGTCTTAACCACTGGACCACCCGGGAATCCCCCAAAATATTTAAAATGAGAGGTAAGTGGCTGTTTGACAGTCCATCAGGTTGAACTGCCACAATTCTACTCCTTGAGAAGAAATACCATTTGTCCAGGACTCTCTGACGCTGGCCTAAGTAAGGTACTAACTCAACTGCTGCCAAATATGGATAAACCATTCTCCACAGGTGCAGACAGTCCCAATACATAAGGCACTTACAACTAACTAGGTTTTCTCATAAATACACCACCGAAGAGAATGCTGCCCCAAATCTTACCTGGTAAGTGATGTCAGGCCTTGAGGGCTCAGCATTACTTCCTCCACTGAAGCCACCAGTGATGGCATGACCCAGAGTGTGGCCGACGGCAGAACCCACAGCCACGCCAGCTGCAGTGGTTGCCATCTGGGCCATCAGACCTGGCTGCCGAGGAGCAGCAGCAGGTGAGCCAACAGCAGATGGTGGAGCCACTGCTGGTGGCTGAGCTGCGGGTGCTGGCCTGGGTGCAGTTCTCATCTGAGGCGCCCGGCTGTGAAAGAAAGGAACAGAAAGTATAAAGTTCCCACTCCCAACCAAGTTTGGAAATTGTCAACTTTTTTTTTTTTTTTAATAAATCCAACAGGATATTAAGTCGATGCTATATTCTTTTTTTTTTAAATAATATTTATTTATTTGGCTGTACGGGTCTTAGTTGCGGCACGCGGGATCTTCGTTGCAGCATGTGGAATCTTCAGTTGCAGCATGTGGAATCTTCAGTTGCGGCATGAGGGATCTAGTTCCCTGACCAGGGACTGAACCCAGGCCCCCTGCATTGGGAGCGAGGAATCTTAACCACTGGACCATCAGGGAAGTCCCAGGAAATTGTCAACTTAAACAAACAAACAAACGAACGAAAACCCCTTGTATATTAAAATAACCTCAGGATTTCATTTTAAATTATTAAATGCAAATACTACATACATACAAGAAAACCTTACAGAACACAATTCCCTGAACTATTTACATCATTTTCTCTTTAACCTTTTACGGTTGTAATCGCCAAGTATAAATGTTTTTTTCCCTGCTTTTTTCCAACCATTTCCATGTATTCACAAAGTCTATAGTATCTTTAGAGAACACAGTTATTCCAACGTCATAAAAATCAATATAACTGTCAATGAAACAAAAGCCTCTACCTTCATGGAGCTGACATCCTATTGAGGGATCAAATAAATGTTAAGAAAAAAATATTGAGAGCGAGGGCAGCATGTTGTGGCATACTGCAATTTTAAGACAGTCAAAGGAGGTCTCACTAAGCTGGTAACAATTGAATGAACACGGAAAGATAGTTATCTGGGGAAATAAACTAATCCAATTCCTTCATTTTACAGATTAGAAAACTGAAGCCCAGTAAGTGGAAGTGACTTGCCTGAACTGTTATACCTAAACTGATTTCAACTATTTCCCATCTGTAGAACATTTGGATGCCTTCAAAATTTCACTAATATGTCCAATGTTGTTCCAAAAATCTTTCACACAGAAGATTTCTGCATTTTTAGATTGTGGTTTCCCTTCCTTTGGATAGCAGCGTCTTTCCATTACGTGAACTCCTTCCCTACGCTCCTAGCACGCAGTTTGAACACAATTCACCTTAGTCTAGAGAAGCAACGTGGTCCTCTGCTAAATGTCCTGAATTTGTCACCGGATAACTCAGGTCTAAGACCTGGCTTCTCTACTTATTGGTGGCATGACCTTGGACAAGTCACTTATTCTGAGTCTCCAGTTTCCTTATTCCTGTAAAACATGAAAATATCTACCTCTGAGGCTATCAGGAGGTGCAACTGGCAGTACATTTTACAAGTATTTTATCAACTAGAAAACGTCATGTACATGTGAGGCCTTAGTGACTGTGTCCCCTACTGGGCCGAGCCCTTAGAATGCTCACTGCTCCTGGAAGATGCTCAAAGATTATTTACTGAATTGAAATACAATCGTTTCTCCTGATTATACTACCTTGCACTTTTTTTCTTGCTATTTTTAAAAAATTTATTTATTTTATTTACTTATTTTTGGCTGCATTGGGTCTCCGTTGCTGCGCGTGGGCTTTCTCTAGTTGCCGCGAGGGGGGGCTACTCTGCATTGTGGTGCGCGGGCTTCTCATTGCGATGGCTTCTCTTGTTGTTGAGCATGGGCTCTAGGCACAAGGGCTTCAGTGGTTGTGGTGTGCGGGCTTCAGAAGTTGTGGCGCACAGGCCCAGCACCTCCGCGGCACATGGGATCCTCCCGGACCAGGGCTCGAACCCACGTCCCCAGCACTGGCAAGCGGATTCTTAACCACTGCGCCACCAGGGAAGCTCTTCTTGCTATTTTAGACGTTTCAGCCAGATTACACTTACGAATGTCCATTTCCTTCTAGAAGTGGCCTGTTTTAACTTAAAATGGACTCTAAGTATTTTAAGTAATAATTCATGGACATTCCAAATTAACAAGTTTGCCACTAACGGGAAAACTAGCCAAACCAGCTTACGGCGACCGGATGCGGGCCCACGCCGCCCCAACCTTCGGACGCCCCAGTCCCCCGCCGCCCAGCCGCCCCGAGGCCCAGCGCAACCTCCCTCTGCGTCACGGCGCCGGCAGGGCCCCAAACCTCGCGGTGGCCTCACCTGGCCGGAGGGACGACGCGGGAAGTGCGGCTTCGGCTTCCACGAGGCATCTTAAACGCGGGACGAAGCAGGGTCAACAAACGCAACACTCGCAGGAAACCCTGGCTGCTTCTGCGACGCGCGAGAGCGGAAGTTGGAAGGCGGGGCTGGACTCAGCGCGCGGCCAATCAGAGCACAGGCAGAGGCCTTCCTTTCGCCGACGTCTCCGCGGGTCTGAAGGTCACAGGAAGAGCAGGACGTCATGGCGACGCCTTGTCGTGCACGGTTTACGTCAGGAGCTCGGCGCCAGGACTGTTTAGAAAACCGGAAGTGGCCGTGGTTGTCGTGCAGACCTTGTCCTCCGAGCCTAGCGCGAGTCACAACCGCTAGCTGTTTGCTTCCTAGGGCACAAGGACCGTCGCTACTACCTTCAAACGTTTGCCTTATTAACATGGTAGGTCAGCTCCAATCTTGAGTGAGTGAGTCAGAGCTCTGGCGTGATTGTCGCTGGACCTTGGGCCAGTTACTTAACCGTTCTCACCATTAAGTTACTCATTTGGGTAAATATTTTTTGAGGCACAATGTGGGCACATAATAAGACGGAAAACTTTAGGGATCGACAGAGCTGAGTTGGTTCTACTTGTATTTTGTCCGTGGATCCAGTCAGCAAAAGTTAAATTCAGACAGTAATAATGCCTTACATTTATGTATTTCATACATTTTCAAACCCCTTTCATATATTATAGAATTTGTGCCCGTAATTGATATGGTATTCGTTCACTGATAATTAAGTGAGATGTTCTGAATGATCTCCAAGTGCTAGCTAGGTTCTGGAAATAGAGCAGGAAATAAGACTACCTCCAAGGGGTTTAAATTCAGGGAGGCAAGAGACAAACACCTACATAAATTAGATGGTGGTGATATGAAGCGAAAGTAGGGTAAGGGTGGTAGGGAGTTAGGGGTTGGAGAGGGCATGAGTCTTTGAAGAGGAAGTATTTGAATGGAGTCCTTGAGGAAGTGCGGAAGCAAGCCTCGTGTTTATCAAGGGTACGAGCATTCCTGGCAAAGGGAATGGCAACTGCAAAGGCCCCAAGGATCTGTGCTTCAGTGATACTTGGTGTGAAATGCTTTTAACAGTACATTTTAGCGCCTCTGCGGTAGGGGACAAGTTAACTAGTGGCATTTCATGGGGGGCTTCATGGGACAGTCCTTGGGGGTGGGGTGGGATTTATGGAGGAGAGAAAGCAGAGGTAGAACCTCCATTTCTGCTTGGATGCCAATCAGAAATTTCCCCCTTCCACCAGAGGTAGCAGAGTTTAACACAGCCTTTCCAGCAACAGCAGAATGTTTGTGGAACTGAGGGGTAAATAATGCAAAAAACTTTTGTGAAAAACAAAGTTTTATTTTCACAGAACTTTTTAAAGAAATGAAAGGTTTACAAATGATAAGCCTTTGTATTCGCCTTTGGATAATTCATAAAAAGAGATGGGAGAAAGGAACTTTATTTATAAAGAACATTCTGGCACCAGAAGAGCTTAGAGTGAGCAGAGCTTTGGACAGACAGGCATGCAGACCAGAACAGAGACAATTTTAATCATACTTAGCTAAGTCACTGATTCCTAAATTGAAGAGAGAAAATTAGATGTTTGTACAAGGTTATTTTGTGATAGTAAAAGATTAAACAATCTAAATTCCTGTCAGCAGAATACAGGTAAAAAAAAATTATGGCACATTCACACAATATGCAGCTATAAAAAAGAAAGAAGTTTTTCTGTGTATTGATATGAAATGATTTCCAAGGTAAACTGTCAAGAGAAAAAAAGCAAGGGGCAGAATTGAGTATAGGGTGCTGTTTGTGAAATGGAGAGAAAAGCCCATAGTGTCCATGCATAAAATATCTTTAGCTGATAACACTGGTTGCCTTCAGGCAGTGGCACAGGGGTGAGACTTCTACTGATAACATTTTCTATCTCTTGGATTTTGAAACAGTTAATGTATTACCTCTATTCAAAAAAAAAGAACATGTAAAAAGTTAAAATGAATAGCAAAAAAGTGGGAATTGAAAATAAATAGAATTCTGCTACCTATCATTTGCAGTTTGGTGGGTTAGGTGTGCCGAAGTTCACACTTTAGTAAAATTTATATACCAACTTATTCTGTAGTGATCACAGTCATTCTCAACAAATGCAATTACAGTGATGAAAATTTGAACAACGAACTCTTGCAGGCATTGTTACAGATATTTGGCTGAGTAGACTTTTGATGATTGCAATAAAAATTCTACTGAAATTAGGTGGTAAATATCAGAAGTTTTAAAACTGTGCAAACTCTGTTCCAGAAATTCCATGTCTTAAGAATTTGAGAAAGTCATGAATGTGAAAGAAATTAGCCATAAGGATGTTGATTTAACAAAATGTATAAAATAGGGAAAACGTGAAATAACCTAAGTGTCCTGCAATATACAATTAGTTAAATAAGTTATAATACATACATACAATGAAATGCTATGCAGCCATTTAAAACGTTGTGAAAGAATATCTGAAGTGAGAAGTATCTTCACAAAACACCAAGTGAAAGAGCAGGTTACAAAGTAGTATACATAGTATGTTTGTATTTTGAGAAAGTTCTTTTATATTTTAAAGGCTGTAATTATATACATCCCAGTAGTGATGTTATCCATTAGATAGTGATTTCTTTCTTCCTTCCTTTTTTTTTTTTTTTGGCTTGTCTGTATTTTCCAATTTGTCTAAGTGAACACACAATAATTAAACCTACATTGGTGGTTTAAAATATGTCCTCAAATTCCTTGACACTCCCTTCAAAAGGTGGAGCCTAATTCCTCTCCAGCCTCCTGAAAGACCCTGAGTTAGAATCATCCAGCTAAGCCACTCCCAAATTGTTGACCCACAGAAACTGAGATAGTAATTTGTTACACAGCAATAGGTAACTAATACACATAACTTCTACAGTGAGCATATTTAAATTTTAAAAGCTCTAGTATCTAAAATGAGCAAAATCTAGTTAGAACATCTTACAGTGTTGCTTTAACATAGCTGATGTCTGGGTATGCTGTACTTCACAGCAGGAATTGTGTAGGAACTGAGATGTTTAAGACATTAAGGTCCATACACTGTAAATGCAGTTTTTTCTTTGGATAACTAAGACATAGTTATATGAATATAGTGCCTTGCACATATCAGACAAAAAAGAATGAATGAATGAATGAAACTGTTGATCTGAAAGTACAGAATACTATAAAACAAATGGTTAAGTGGTGTTTATATGAAGTTCTAAAGGATTTTAAAGGAATGGACATTCAGTGTGGATGAATGCTTCTGGGAGAAAGTGGCACTTGGTGCCACTTTCACTTAGGTGAAATTAGTTTTAGAAAAATTAAAATTGTAAAGGGCACACTGAGTAGCACAGCACAGATTCAAAGGAAGAAGCAGAATTGAATATGGTGAAGTTAGAGGACAGAAGACATGTGTCACGAACCAGTGTGTTTTTGGAAGTTGTGAGAAACAAACTTAAGAAAATCCAATAGATGGGGACTTGCCTGGTGGTCCAGTGCCTTCCAGTGCAGGGGACGCGAGTTCCATCCCTGGTTGGGGAACTAAGATCCCACATGCTGCGAGGCAACTAAGCCTGCGTGGCACAACTAGAGAGAGAAAACCCACATGCCACAACTAGAGAGAAGCCTGCGCGCTGCAAGGAAAGATCCCGTGTGCCGCAATGAAGATCCCATGTATCACAGCTAAGATGCGATGCAGCCAAAAAAAAAACCAGAAATGCAATAGATGATTTGCAGCACAATATAAGGCATCTAAGCTTTTTGGCCTGCAAGGTTAGAGCAGCACTGAGGATCTTTATATTATTAAAATGGTCTTCTGAAGATTAATCTGGACATGTCTGAGATATAGCAGAGGGAGACTAGGGGTAAGGAAAAAAATCCTGAAGGCTAAGACAGTGGTGATGTGGACATTATTACTAATTATTTGAGTGCCTATTGTATACCAGGCACTGAGAGCTTTACGTGCGTTATTTCATTTATGCCTCACAAGAACTCTTGAAATAGGTACTGTATCATCGCTATTTTATAGGTAAGGAAACAGATGCTTAGAGTTTAAGCAACTTTCCCAAGTCCATACAGGTGTTTGACTCCAAAGTGAAGACTCCTACCATACCACACTGCCTGAATGTTGGAGACATTTTAAAATAATGAAGTGAGTGAAAGAATTTAAGACTTCCTTGGCAGTCCAGTGGTTAAGACTCCGTACTCCCAATGCAGGGGGCAAGGGTTCCATCCCTGGTTGGGATACTAAGATCTTGCATGCCGCATGGTGCGGCCAAAAAAAAAAAAAAAAAGGACTTCGTGACTAGAGAGGAAGGAGAAGAGGGATCACGTTCTGTAAACTTAAAAATAATTACCATTGGGGCTTCCCTGGTGGCGCAGTGGTTGAGAGTCCGCCTGCCAATGCAGGGGACGCGGGTTCGTGCCCTGGTCTGGGAAGATCCCACATGCCACGGAGCGGCTGGGCCCGTGAGCCATGGCCGCTGAGCCTGCGTGTCCGGAGCCTGTGCTCCGCAACGGGAGAGGCCACAACAGTGAGAGGCCCGCGTACCGCAAAAAAAAAATAATAATAATTACTATTTATTGAGCACCGGTTATGTGCCAAGCCCTTAAGGGTGTCACATTTATTTTATCTATAATCCTGTTTGGCGAGGTAACCCAATATTATTCCCATTTTACAAATGCAAAACCTGAAGCATGGTGGAACTTGAAAGTAGCTACCACTCAGAAGTTTGCTGAATGCCAGATTGATGAACACCCATAGCTAGGATTAAAATTCAAGTTGCTCCTTCCAGAACACCACCCTTCTCCCCCAACAAAGGACTCACCGCTGGGCGCAGAGACCTGACTGAATGCAGAGTGAAGAGAAAGAAAAGGGACCCTGCCATACTCTGCATAATTTTTAAACTATAACCCTAGTTCTTGGACATGGAGTTTGTGGGTGGTTCTGAACCACAGAAGGATGTCTACAGTTGAGGAAAACTGTGATGCTGGGAAGAGTGAATGTTTTTGAGTATCTGTTATGCCAGGTTTTCTAATTAGCTGTATGACCTCTGGAAAGTTACTTGAGTTCTGTGCCTCAGAATCCCGTCCGTAAAATGGAGCTAGCATTCGCTTCAAAGGATTGCTGTGGGGTCAAAGCGCAGAGAATTCCTATCTTTGTTCTGCCCACATTCGTCTTTGTGACGTCTTCTTTGCAGATAAGAACTCAAATATTTGTGTACTTGAAACAAGTTACCACAGCAACTTAAAAAAAACACCAGCAGAGTTAAAATGCCATTCTTGCTGCTCTTTTAATTAAAAACCCTAAACAGGCATACCCACTTGGATGTTACTTAACAATTAGTGAGGAAAAGATACTGAACTTAAGCGATGTCGAAAAGAAGTTCTGTTGACCAACATGGACTGTTCCCCTTAGGACCGGAGTTATAGCTGGAGTCAGAGAAAATACTTTTATCAGGTCCTTTGGGTATGGGTATCCTGTTGAAAACCAGACAAAAACAAAAATCAATTCTCTTTAGTCCGTGCATAAACACTGGAAGTAAATCCCTTACTTGTATTTTTAGAAAGATGTTTCCTGCGTTTCCTAGCCCCTTCTACCCAACTAAAAAATTCCAAAAGGTAGAATTTTAACTGCCGCCGGGAGACAGGCTGGGAGTTTAGGGAGCCCAGCTAATGACTCGCTACGCGGGGCAGCCTCAGGAGGGGGCGACTGTGCCCCGTTCGAGTCGCAGGGGGCGGACCGGAGCGTTACCGGGACGCTCGCGCGGGCCCGCACGCACCAGCACTCAGGCGAGACGGGTGCGCGGCCGGGGCTGCAGCTGGCGCTGGCGACGCTTGCGCTGGCCGTTGAGGAGCTTCTGCGCGATCTTGCGCTCGTGGCCGCCGGGCACCCGCCAGTTGGTGCGCAGTTCCCGCTCGCGCCGCGTCCGGCCCTTGCTGCGCCCGGCCCCGCAGGCCGGGAAGTCGCGCAGGTAGTAGTAATCCAGACAGTCATAGAGCTCCTCCTCGGAGCCAACCAGCGGCCACGCTTCGGGTGGCGGCAGCTGGGCCTGACCCTGGACACCAGGAAACGCCAAGCCCATCGCGCCCAGCCTCAGGGTCTGCCGCTCGCGCGCCCGTGCGCGCAAGTTTGTGGAGGCCCCCCCCAGCGCTTCGATTGGCTCCGCCGAAGGGGGCGGGGCCTAGGGCTGACGTCACAGGACCGGGAAGGTACTCAGCGCGAGGCCTCTGCGATCTGGCACCTGGAACCATGATCCTTTCCTCCATCCCGGCCTGTGCGCCGCCTGAGCGAGAAGGGTATTTGGCAAAATTAGACCAAACACTTGTTTATGTCGGTCAAAAATGGGAAATTATCCAAGTATCAAGTGTCAGGGAGCTGTGCATTACTCCGGCGGACTTCTATCAGCATTGAACATTTTGTTAGGCTATTTGATGACAGGAGTAAGTGCTCAATAAATGATGCAAAGTGAAAAATGAGCTTCTGAAGTAATATCTCTGGTATCCCAGTAATATATATTTAAAACATGTCTGGAGTGAAAGGAAATGCGGTGGAATGCTAAAAGTATTTCTGGCTGGTAGGGACATACACACATTAGTTCTTTTTTCCTTTCCACAGTCCACGTGTTTGATAAGGGGTACGAATTAACTGTATTAAGCGAGCGAGCGATTAAGAAGGGAAAGTCACCCTGCCTGGTGCAAGGCCGGGAACCGCGTGCAATTTCGGATTATCAGCAGGTGCCCAATCCCTGCGGCCAGGGGACGCTAAAATTGTGGTAGCTTGATGCGCCGGCAGTTTTGGGGTGAGGGCCGAGAGTTGGGAGCGGCCGCGCGGGGGAACCAGCGCGAGCCCAGCGTCCCACCCGCCAGCCCCGGGTGCGCCCAGCCCCGCGGGCGTTGGGGGAAGGATGCTCCCCGAGAGCTGCAAAGGCGAGAGGAATCAGGCCGAGTGGCCTACGCTCAGAAAAGTCCAGACCTACCTCCTCGCCGAGGGCAGCTGCACAGCTGAGCAGGAGTCATTAACACCCTGCGGCACCCGAGGCTCTGCGGTGACTACCCGGTCTAATTACCTAATTACTGTCTCCGTAAACGCTGCTCTCAGGGAGTTATTGCGAAGAATGCCTTTGTTTTGGTTTGGTTTAACTAGCGCAGATAATTCTCTTCCCAGGAAAATTGCGTCTATCCCCTCGGGGATTTTCTTTTTAATAGATCGAAAATAATTCAATACTTTAAAAAAAAGTCCTTTTCAGGTATTTGATCTTGCTGAGTTTCTGTCTGTGACCAAGTTGCCAATTTGAGTTTTTTTTCTGCTCTCTGAAGTATCCCTGGTGGGGCGTGGCCTACATACCACGCTCTGAGGGCAATTTTGTTAGTTCCTTAAATGAGCAAATCCCAAGAGAGAGTTTTTAATAAAAGGCAGAGAGGATTTTCTCTTCCACCCACGTGTCTTACACCTGTACTGGGAAAGAGAAGCTAATATTTATCCCTCTACCACCCTCCCACACATCATCTCTTTTAAAAACTCTCTTTAGAATTTGTTATGAAAATATTCAGACCTTCTCAGAAGTGAAAATAGAACAAAGAACTCCCGTATCCCATCACATGGATTCAACAATTATCAAGATCCTGTCAGGTTTGCTTTACCCCTTTCTGTTTTGCTCTGCTGCAGACCTTATGTCATTTTACTCCTGTATATCTCAATATACAGCTCTAAAAAACTAGACTTTTTTCCATAACCTCAATGCCATTTTCATACTTGACAAAGTCAACTTGGCCCTGTTATCATCTAAAACCCAGTCCAGAATCAAATTTCTCTGATTGTCTAAAAGACAATAGAAAACATACAACTCAGAATACATACAGAATCTACACATGAAATTTTCTTGTATGGTGTTTAAGTCTCTTATAATCTAGGGTGGGCCCCTGCCCTTTTCATTTTTCCCTGTCATGACTTGCTGCAAAAACTGGGTCAGTTGTCCTGTAAAATGCCCCACTTTGTGGATTTTTCTGTTTCCTTGTCGTGTCATTTAACTTCTTCCTCTCTCTCCCATATTGTGTAAATGGAGGTTGGCTCTAGAGGCTAGGAGGTGATGTGTGTTGGTATCACACCAGGAGACCCGCAATAGCTCATGGTCCCAGTTTCAGTGATCAGTAGGCTCAGGTGGTGACAGCCTGCCCCTGCAATTGTATAGTTCCACATTAAGCTTTTATCTAATAGTTTCAACCATAGTTCATTGCTTTATTTGCTGTTTTGTTCATCTGCTATTATCTCATTAGGGGCTGTGAAATGGTAATTTTCTAATTCAATCCTTTCTTCCACACTTATTAGCTAGAATTCTTTCCCTCATGAATTTAGACTCTTTGGTTACCCTGATATATCTTTTTTCTTCCAGTTTTATTGGTATATAGTTGATGTACAGCACTGTATAAGGTGTACAGTGAAATGATTTGACTTAATACTTCATGAAATGAGGACCACAGTAAATTTAGTGAACATCCATCATCTCATATAGATACAAAATTGAATAGAAAAACATTTTTTTCCTTGTGATGAGAACTCAGGATTTCCTCTGTTAACTTTTGTATATCACAGACAGCAGTGTTAATTATATTTATCATGTTGTATGTTACATCTCTAGTACTTATTTGTCTTATAGCTGGACGTTTGTATCTTTTGACTACCTTCATCCGATTCCCCCTCCCCCCCATACCACTCTTCCACACATTACCACTAGACCTGTCCTACAAGAAATGCTACAGGGATTCCTTCAGGTTGAAATGAAAGGACGCGAGACAGTAACTTGTAGCCAGATATAGACATAAAGATCCCTGTTAAAGGTAAATACATGGGCACATATAAAAACCTATTGTTGGGGCTTCCCTGGTGGCGCAGTTGTTGAGAATCCACCTGACAATACAGGACACACAGGTTCGATCCCTGGTCCAGGAAGATCCCACATGCTGCAGAGCAACTAAGCTCATGCGCCACAACTACTGAGCCTGTGCTCTAGAGCCCATGAGCCACAACTACTGAGCCCATGTGCTGCAACTAGTGAAGCCCGCGCGCCTAGAGCCCGTGCTCCACAACGAGAGAAGCCACCACAATGAGAAATCCGCGCACTGCAACGAAGAGTAGCCCCCACTCGCCGCAACTAGAGAAAGCCTACATGCAGCAAGGAAGACCCAACACAGCCCAAAATAAATAAATAAATAAAACCTATTGTTATAAATTTTTTTGTAACCCCACTTTTAATTTTTCACAGGATTTAAGAGACAAATGCTACAGTAATCAAAACATGTAGTACTGGAATAAGGCAGACATATACACCGATGAATCAGAATAGAGAACCCAGAAGTAAGCTCTTGAATATATGATCAAATGCTTTTCAACATTTGGTTCTGGGTAAACTGGATATCCATATGCAAAAGAATGAAATTGGACCTTTACCTTACATCCAATACAAAAATTAACTCAAAATGAAAAAAAAAAAATTAACTCAAAATGAATCAAAGACCTAAACATAAGCTCTAAATCTATAAAACTCTTAGAAGCAAACATAGTGGAAAAGCTTTATGACATTGGATTTGGCAATGATTTCTTGGATATGACAACAAAAGCACAGACAACAAAAGAAAAAATAGATAAATTAGACCTCATCAAACTTGAAAACTTTTGTGCATCAAAGAACACTATGAAGAGAGTGAGAAAGCAACTTATGGAATGAAAGAAAGTATTTGCAAATCATTTATCTGATAAGGGTTTAATATCCAGAATATATGAAGAACTCCTACAACTCAACAACAACCAAAAAACAACCCAGTTTAAAAGTGGGCAACAGACTTGAATATACATTTCTCCTTTCCTAACCTTCCTTGCCATATTGATTTCTAGCCCCCTGTGGTACTCCAGCAGCTGTGATAAACAATATGGGGTCTGTGCCAGTTACCAATTTATTGCCTTTTGGCTCCAAATTCACCCTTCATTGCTTGCTGTGCAAAAATTGGAGCTGGACCATTTAAGTATTTTTTTCTTTACCAGTTGGCACAATGTTAGTCTTTGTCAGGTGAGGGCTCCGGAGAGTAATTGCAGGAGGAAGGGGTTTCCTTTCTCATTCTAATGTACTCTTTCAGCAGGCTCCTGCAGCATGCATGGGTTCCTTAATGCTCAGCTCCTGCAGTGCAGATGGCTTCCCCAGCACCAGGGTTCTGCAGCTCATGTAGCTCTTCCAGAGCCCCGCTCCTGCAGTGACAGTGGCCAGCACCACCCAGCCAGGAGTTTTCCCCTGAATCCTCCCATCCTTGGTTGCCTTTGTGTCAGGGTGCCTCCATTGAGATACCTCTCCAAGAATGACTTTCCTTGACACCCTAGAAGGTAGGTTTCTGGCAAGTTCTGGAGGGCAAATTTCCAGCAACTACCATTGCTGTGTAAAGCTCAGCTTCTCTGTACACCGGTCCCAAATCTCAGACACAGAGTTTTGGGTAAAGTAGAAAAGGATAGCTTTATTACTTTGCCAGGCAAGGGGGGACTCCTGCCTGGAAAAACTATGTCCCAACCTGGGAGGATTTGATGAGGGGTTTTACAACAATGGTTCAAAGGTGGGGTCTCTGACAAGATTAGGGTGAGTGCGCCCGCTTGCACTCCCTTAATCTCGTCTCATGGTGGGTCTCCTAATCTGGATGAACTTCTCTGGTTCCTTTCATCTGACCTCAGCTGGTTTCTTGGCTGCTCCTCCCTTGATGAGCAACTGTTCGAATCTGCCCTTTAGAATTCCGGGAAGGTCATGGAGACTGGAGTCTTGCCTATAAGAAACAGGGGACAAAAGGGCCTCTATACCTGGGAGCCTCACAGGGCCTCACTCGGTTTCACCACTGGCCCAGCATTGAGCGACTTCTGTGCCATCCAGTTACCCACGGCTGTGTAACTCTCCAACAAGGTCTGGATCTCAGCCCTGGTCCTCTGCCTTAGCTTAGGGGGTGATGGGTGCACCTTACATATGCCAATCCTATATTCTTTAGGGTTCTCTTTACTTTTTGGCTAGCAGCCAATCCCACTTTACTCAGATGCCCTATTATAGTTAACACTTACATGTATTAAAATTTCGCTGTTCAAATTGCTGTGTGGCTTCCATCTCCCAATTTGACCCTGAGTGATACAGGGTCTCTGCCCAACACAACAAGGAAGAAGGACACCCAGTCTCTCACCATTATACAATATGGTGTGCTACTCCAGTAGTGGGACAGAGTATTGGGGGTAGTGGGTAAGAAGATGCCTAGAGGGTCCATGAAGACTGAGAGAATTAAGCTGAAAGGATGAGGAGGGGATCAAGGCACTCCAAGTTCATCATTAACACCTCCTCTTGTCTTTCTTCCCACCATCACTAAATCTCTGAGTTATATCAATTCTATCTCCCAAGTCTGGTCCATGCTTTCCACCCCACTGCCGCATCTCATGCCAGGCCATCATCGTCTCTGCCTGGTTTATCGTGAGGGCCCTCTAATTATCGTCTTTGCTTCTACCCCTTGTTCAGCCTGTTCTCCACAATGAAGCCAGAGAGATTTTTCTAAAAGACAAATGTGAGTCCTTGATTAAAAACTGTTGGTCTCACCCATTCCCCCAAGGACAAAATCTGACTCATTTGGTCACAAGGTTTGGAAAGATCTGGCCTCTGCTCACCTTTTCAGTTTCATCTTGTGCCACCCCTCCCTGTATTCTTACTCTCCAGCCACATGGAATGTTCGTTTCCTTAGGAACCTTTATTAGTACTGTTCGCTCTTCCAGGAAACCCTCTCCCTACCACCACCTTCACCCTTTCACTCTCATCTTTGCTTCCTTAGCTCATCCTTAGCCACGGCTAAGATATCTACTCGGAGGAGGAGACTTCCCAAACCTATCTTTCTCTGATCTGGCTAGGCGCCCCTTGTGTATATTTCAGTCAAACCCGGTACTTTTCTCATAATGCTTATCACAGTCTGGTAACTGTTAACATGTATGTCCCCTCACTACTATGACATGAAATTCATACTTCATTGCAAGAAAAGAAAAATTTAAACGTAAAAACTTTTCTCTACCTTTTGGCCTCCTCTCTCCCCTCTACTGTGCATTGCGTATCTGCATTATGCATCGACCAAACCTCCCCACAGGCAGAAATACCTGCTCAGCCATAAAGAGCAACATTCTCCTAGCACCAACAAGACAACTCCTTAAAAGATAACATTCCTTTCTGATTTTGTAAGGGGTCACGATGACCCACTACTTTGCACTCACAGATCTGGATTGTGTAAACTGTCAATAATACATCACTTAATGTACAGCCCCTTCTCTCAAAAAACTTACATAACTGCTTTGACTTCTAATGGGCGGAACAGTTCTTGGAGCTTTCTGAGAGGCTGTTCTCAGGTTATAATCCTCAATTTGGCTTGAATAAAATTTTCCATTTCTTAGATGGACTGATTAATTTTTTGTCGACACTACACTACAAGCTCCATGAGGACTGAAACTCTTGTTCACCCTTGTTTCCTAAGCATCTATTAATATTATAGTGCATGGTACATATTAGGTGCTCAATAAAAGTTGGGGGGAAAAGAATGAACCAGCAAAGATAACAGGGAGAATGTGTGAAAGTATGTCATGTAAACAGAGTGTAGGGACATGGGTAAGAGTGGCTGGACCTGAAGGGCCCTGTCATTTATACTGAGCAATTTGTACTATAAAATATGAATCAAACACCCCACATTGGCTGCTGGTGATTGAACTGGGCTTCCTGTTCATACATTTGGTTTGACCAGCACAGTTTTAAGAACCTTTGAATGTGTATGCCTTTCAGTTTGCCACAATTCCCACTGGTCCCCACATTACATGGGCCTCCTTTCCTCATTGAAGCTGGCTGCCTGCCTCACTGAGATCTGTGTTTGCTATCCCTGCAGATGGATGGGAGGTAATTTAAAGAGGGAGAGGATTTAAAGAGGGGGATTTAAGATATGAGTTCTAGAAAGATAAATCCACCCTCAGTGGCGGTGTGCTTTGAGGATTCCTCGGGAGAAGTGAATTTGTTTCATTCAGAGAGCCCTGGGAATAAAGGTAGACTCAGAAAA